CCCTGAGGGGGTGGGGGGTTGGGGATGGGATAGGGGGGTGGGGGTGATTTCTCGCTTTCTCTTTTTCTATCACTATCTCTTTCTCTCTGGCAAGTGCACATTCCCTATAGCAAAAACTAAAAAAAAAAAAAAAAAAAGGAAAACCACACTGTATCCCACAAAGATGTACAACTATCATCTGTAAATTAGAAGTTACAGTTTAAAAATGACTTTTAAAAGGGGGCAAGGAGAAAAAAATCTTGATTTGATAATTTTCTAAATGGTGGTTAGAAAAACTAAGAACCATAAAAAGTAAGAATAGAAAACAATTTTGAAATGGAATCTTGAGTCACCTATTTACAAATACATTAGAGTCTGAAGGAAAACCCAGATATTTATGATGGGACTTCAAAAGTTAGTGGAAAAATGGAATGCATAGTTTTTTGTAACGTGTTTTTTCCACTAACTTTTTGAAGATCCTATTTAAAAGTAAATGCTTTTAAACTACCTTTCTAATCTATAGCATCAGCACTTCTACAAGACATGTACCCATACCTGTACTATCTACTCATTATAGCCTAAATACTCAGAGAGAGCTATATGGAGTAGGCTGCCTATCTTTTAACATAATCAGGAAGTAAGCTGTACTGCTCAATGAAATGTTCTGGACATTCACGCCACTTTACACATGCCGTATTCATGTAATTTACATTCCATTAATCCTATTACACTAAACTACTTTTAACCCTAAAATTCATGGTCATAATTTAACCACTGATGAAAACACCTAAAGATTGTTACGGTGCTTTGATGGTTACTTACCTTTGCACTAGGCAGTATACTCTAGTATTTGCCAGTAGCAGCTACAGTAACCCCTTTGACAGAAAAGTAAGTTTTGTTAAAATAAAGCATTCTGCAATAATTACAAATTCTGTGAGATAAACATCAATTAACTCTAATAGGCAAGAAGAAAAGACACATGCTAAATGCAAATAGGTCAGAGAGCAGCCGCGCACCGGGAACTGCCTGGCCAGCGCCCCCCTCACTGGGGGGGGGCACGCGGCCGGGGGCTCATGCCCCCCAGCGCAGCCTCGGGCCTGGGAACGGCCTGGCCGCCCCCCCCACTGGGGGGGGCACGTGGCCGGGGGCTCACGCCCCCCAGCGCAGCCAAGCGCCTCTCCCTGCCTCTCCCTGCCTCTCTGGCCCGGGA